GTACACATGTTCCTCAAGTCAAGATACGACCAAAATGTAGTCATGGCTCCGCCCTCTGACAAACAGGAGGCCCATAAATTTCACTGCAAAATGGAAAAATGATCCGCAATAATTTTCATACATGTCGGTTGGAAATCTTCTCCTCCTCAGCTGTTTCACCGATTTGCCTCAAAATTGTTCCAGATCATCTCAACACATGTACCTTCAAAATGACCAAAGGGATTTTTGATCAATGAAACGTTGTTTGAGCAGCGGAGCGGCAAAATGTGAGTGTTTTTTGACCGTTTTTCACAACATTAATTTTGCTCCCGTTTGCACAAACAAAGTCTGATTTGCACAAAACTTGAATCCGATGTTCAACTCCAGGGTTTAGGTCAGGTGAAAGATTTGAAATTGGCCCAATAGCGCCCCCTACAGATTGAGGCAAAGTTTTACATGGGGTGCCAAACAGCTCTAATCATCATATTCATTACAATTTGAGTAACGTTCTTCTATGGCAACAGCAACAAATCATCACACGGCGGCCCCACCTCCTTTGCGCGGTGCTGTGTGGTGCGGTGTGGTGTGGCGTAGTGCGGGGCGTTGTGGAGTGGCGCGTTGCGGCTTGGTGCGGGGCGGCGTGGTGCAGATCCGCTTGGTGCGGAGCGGCGTGGTGCAGATCCGCTTGGTGCGGGGTGGCGTGGTGCGGGGCGGCTTGATGCATGGCGGCTGGGTGCGGGGCGGCTTGGTGTGGAGCAGCTTGATGTGGGGCGGCTTGGTGCAGGGTGGTGTGCGCGGTGCGGCGAGGGCCGTTCGACGCCGCTTGCGGCTTTAATTATCATTTAATGTTCCTTTGGTCATTAGTTAACAACAGGTTTGAGTCCTAGATCTACAGCCTGTGTATGAGTGGGAGCAAATCTCTCTTTCAATATGGGCCCTGAGGTTTCTCACTTTTTTCCCACTGGGTTTTTTGAGTGGTTTCTTGCCAATGCGAAGGGCAGTGAAGAATTTAGGCAAGTATACATTTTTATTTCCTCTTAGTCTATGACTATGATGCGCGTCTCTGTCACGAAATAAATTCGGAACATTTGGAGGCAGAGAGTTTTTTGATGCCCTGAACATAATCTGAGCAGTTCTAAAGTGAATCAAATCTTGTAATTTAAATTCTTTCAACTCTATGAACAGTGGGTGAGTATGATGCTTGTAGTGAACATTAGAGACAATCCTTATGGCCTTTTTCTGCAGCGTGATCAGAGGCTGTAAGTGGGATTTGTAGCAGTTTCCCCACACTTCAACACAGTAATGTAAATATGACATGATGAAAGAACGATACAATAATAGAAGAGCATTGGTGTTGAGTAAATGACTTGCTCTCCTCATCATTCCAACACATTTAGCAACTTTTGACCTGATGAAATTTATGTGGGGTTTCCAGGATATTTTATCATCTATTACAACTCCTAAAAATGTATTTTGGTGAACTTTTTCCATTTCTGTATCGTCAATGACAATCTTGACAGGAATATTACATCTGCGATTGCTAAAAAGCATAATCTTGGTCTTTTTTATATTTAATGACAACTTGTTTGTATTAAACCAGGTCTTTAGTTTGTTCATTTCAACAGTTACAACGGCCGAGAGCTGCTCCAGATCATCACCTGCACATATGATATTTGTGTCATCGGCAAAGAGAATGAATTTCATTAAGTTTGATATTGTACATATATCATTTATGTACATTATGAATAAAGTGGGTCCAAGTATTGATCCTTGAGGTACTCCACACGTTATGTTCTTAAATCCAGATTTGTGTTGGTCAATCTGTACCAGCTGCCTTCTCTCACTTAAATAACTCTCTAACCATTGTTTAGGCTGTCCCCTTATGCCATAGCTCTCAAATTTGTGTATCAAAATATGGTGGTCAATTGTATCGAACGCTTTTTGAAGGTCAATGAAAATCCCTAAAACAAATTTATTTTTCTCAATACCATTAGTAATTTCTTCAATTAAATCAATTAGTGCTAGTGAAGTGGATCTGTTTTGTCTAAATCCATATTGACTATTGGACAGTAAATTGTGGTTTTCAATAAAGCAGCGAAGTCTAGTGTCAAATACTTTTTCTAATATTTTAGAAAACTGTGGCAGAAGGGAAACAGGCCGATAGTTTGTAAAGTGGTGTTTGTCTCCAGCTTTAAAAATTGGTATGACTTTTGCAAGTTTCATTTGTGAGGGAAATTCTCCCAGCTGAAAAGATAAGTTGCAGATATGTGTGAACGGTTTAGCAATTTCCTCTGCTACATTTCGGACAGTCCTCATGTCGAGATCATTAATATCACCAGATGTTTTATTTTTACAGTTCCTAATGACATTGAGGACTTCCTTCTCGTCTGTGGGGGCGATAAACATCGAATGTGAATTTGTTTCAATGAGTTCTCTTAGCTGATCATTGTTTTCTGGGATTTTTCCTGCCAACTCAGGCCCTATATTAACAAAGAAATTATTAAAACCATTTGCAATCTTCTTTTTGTCTCGAACAATCATGTCATTTTCAAAAAAAAACTCAGAATAACACAGGCTGTTAGAGCCACGACCAATAACGCTATTCAATACATTCCAAATTCCTTTAATGTCATTTTTCTTTTTGATAAGTAAATCTATATAATATTCTTTTCTGCTGGTTCTCATTATGCTAGTTAATTTATTTTTATATGTTTTGTATTTTTGTTCAGTTTCTGTCGTTTGATACCTAAGAAATTGCCTATAAAAGTAATTTTTCTTTTTGCAAGCGTTTACAAGGCCTCTTGTTAACCATGGAGTTTTTGTGTGCTTTCTTGTGCACTTTTTGATTGGACAGTGCTTATCATAAAGTGTGAGGAAAATGTCAAGAAACAAATTGTAAGCTCCATTTACATCAAACATTGAAAAAATAGGATCCCAGTTTTGCCTCGCTAGATCATGCTTTAATGCTAAAAAGGATTGTTCTGTTGTAACTCGTTGATAAAAGACCCTTTTTACTGGTTTGGAAATATTGCTGTTGACATCATACATCATGAAGACCGGTAAATGATCACTCACATCATTCACTAACACACCTCCAGTTAACTTGTCGTCTAAAATGTTGCAGAATATATTGTCTATAAGAGTGGCACTATGAGATGTGATTCTCGTGGGTCTGCTGATAAGTGGGAACAAGCCCATAGAAAACATGGTGTCAATAAATTCCTCTGTATGTACATGTTTATTAGAATTTAAAAGGTTAATGTTAAAGTCTCCGCATATGATAAATTGTTTGTTTCTATTATTAATTATCTTTTCCATCCATTCCCTAAATAGTTTCAAGTCGGATCCTGGTGTCCTGTAAACGCAGCTTACAATAATGTTTTTCTTGTTTGGAATTGCTAGTTCTATCGTGACACACTCAAAAAGGTCATCTATCGCTAAACACAAATCATTTACAATAGAACAGTTCATGTTTTTGTCCACGTATAGAGCCACTCCCCCTCCTCTCTTGTGTTGCCGGTTTGTACAGAACATTTCATAACCCTCTAATTCAAAGTCACTCTCACTATTCTCTCTTATCCACGTCTCCGAAATACCAATTATATTAAAAGGTGACTTAAATTGGTTCAAGGAGTCCTGGATGCCTTCAAAATGTGCGTATAAACTCCTGCTATTAAAATGTACTAGAGATATACTTTTTTCTTGCATGAATCTTTTCTCAAATGTGATGTTTGTATAATATAGACAATCAGTGTTAGTTTTTTGAAGGATATTTTTATCAGAATCAATTTCGTGCATAAAGCTTTGTGATCTATAATTCATATGGTCAGAAAAACTAATAGGCTCCAAGTTTATGTTCAGATCTTCATCCTCAGTTTCAGAAGAGCCTTCGCTATCACAACTATACATGTAGTATTTCAGAGACATGAATAAAGAGAGAGGGTGCATGGTCATAAAGTGAGGGGCCCAAACACACAGACACACAGCCACATGACCATGAAAACATACACAAGTTCACTCTCACACATATGCACACACAATCACACACATACGAACACACTGCAGGTAGTGAAGTAGGAAAAAAACATAAATGAAAAAAGAGAAAAATAGGAAGGATGCATAATGCATTGACAAGCACCTGACTCTAGCTCCTGAACGTGTATCTCTCTGCTGTGGTCTTACTCTAGCTCCTAGTCTCTCGGCTGTGGTCTTACTCTAGCTCCTAGTCTCTCGGCTGTGGTCTTACTCTAGCTCCTGAGCGTGTATTCTTTGCTGTGGTCTTACTCTAGCTCCTGAACTTGTGTCTCTTGGCTGTGGTCTTACTCTAGCTCCTGAACTTGTGTCTCTCGGCTGTGGTCTTACTCTAGCTCCTGAACGTGTATCTCTCGGCTGTGGTCTTACTCTAGCTCCTGAACGTGTGTCTCTCGGCTGTGGTCTTACTCTAGCTCCTGAACGTGAATCTCTTGGCTGTGGTCTTACTCTAGCTCCTGAACGTGTATCTCTTGGCTGTGGTCTTACTCTAGCTCCTGAACTTGTGTCTCTCGGCTGTGGTCTTACTCTAGCTCCTGAACTTGTGTCTCTCGGCTGTGGTCTTACTCTAGCTCCTGAATTTGTGTCTCTCGGCTGTGGTCTTACTCTAGCTCCTGAACGTGTATCTCTCGGCTGTGGTCTTACTCTAGCTCCTGAACGTGTGTCTCTCGGCTGTGGTCTTACTCTAGCTCCTGAACTTGTGTCTCTCGGCTGTGGTCTTACTCTAGCTCCTGAACGTGTATCTCTCGGCTGTGGTCTTACTCTAGCTCCTGAACGTGTGTCTCTCGGCTGTGGTCTTACTCTAGCTCCTGAACGTGTATCTCTTGGCTGTGGTCTTACTCTAGCTCCTGAACGTGTATCTCTTGGCTGTGGTCTTACTCTAGCTCCTGAGCGTGTATTCTTTGCTGTGGTCTTACTCTAGCTCCTGAACTTGTGTCTCTCGGCTGTGGTCTTACTCTAGCTCCTGAACGTGTATCTCTCGGCTGTGGTCTTACTCTAGCTCCTGAACGTGTGTCTCTCGGCTGTGGTCTTACTCTAGCTCCTGAACGTGTATCTCTTGGCTGTGGTCTTACGCTAGCTCCTGAACGTGTGTCTCTCGGCTGTGGTCTTACTCTAGCTCCTGAACGTGAATCTCTTGGCTGTGGTCTTACTCTAGCTCCTGAACGTGTATCTCTTGGCTGTGGTCTTACTCTAGCTCCTGAACTTGTGTCTCTCGGCTGTGGTCTTACTCTAGCTCCTGAACTTGTGTCTCTCGGCTGTGGTCTTACTCTAGCTCCTGAACGTGTATCTCTCGGCTGTGGTCTTACTCTAGCTCCTGAACGTGTGTCTCTCGGCTGTGGTCTTACTCTAGCTCCTGAACTTGTGTCTCTCGGCTGTGGTCTTACTCTAGCTCCTGAACGTGTATCTCTCGGCTGTGGTCTTACTCTAGCTCCTGAACTTGTGTCTCTCGGCTGTGGTCTTACTCTAGCTCCTGAACGTGTATCTCTCGGCTGTGGTCTTACTCTAGCTCCTGAACGTGTGTCTCTCGGCTGTGGTCTTACTCTAGCTCCTGAACGTGTATCTCTTGGCTGTGGTCTTACTCTAGCTCCTGAACTTGTGTCTCTCGGCTGTGGTCTTACTCTAGCTCCTGAACTTGTGTCTCTCGGCTGTGGTCTTACTCTAGCTCCTGAACTTGTGTCTCTCGGCTGTGGTCTTACTCTAGCTCCTGAACGTGTATCTCTCGGCTGTGGTCTTACTCTAGCTCCTGAACGTGTGTCTCTCGGCTGTGGTCTTACTCTAGCTCCTGAACTTGTGTCTCTCGGCTGTGGTCTTACTCTAGCTCCTGAACGTGTGTCTCTCGGCTGTGGTCTTACTCTAGCTCCTGAACGTGTATCTCTTGGCTGTGGTCTTACTCTAGCTCCTGAACGTGTATCTCTTGGCTGTGGTCTTACTCTAGCTCCTGAGCGTGTATTCTTTGCTGTGGTCTTTCTCTAGCTCCTGAACTTTTATCTCTGGGTTGTGGTCTTACCGGAGCACCTGAACTTGTTGCTCTTGATCTGGGCGATGCGCTTGTTGGCGAGGCGGCGGGGACTGGCACAGCGCGCTCCACTCGTCTCGATGGGATTGGCGCGCAGGAAGTCGGACAGCCACTTCACGTGACAGTCGCACACAAACGGGTTCTGGGCCAAATGTCTGAGGAGAGAGACCACAGGGACCACACAACTCAGGCTCAATAAAGCTATCAGTCCATTTAGTATATGAATGAATGTGTCTATGTATCTATCTATCCATCCAGTGGCAAGAGCTCTGGTGTGTGTCGTCTGGTGCACACTGGGGTAGTCTTGCACAGTTTTTCCAATGTGGTTTTACTGCAAATGGCAAATAAATGAATCTGAATTTGAATCCATTTGTATATGTAAGCACAGCAGTGGGTCAGTCTCACTTAAAAGATGAGAGATTCTGGTCATCTTTGTCATAGCTATACCCCAACTATAAGAGATTAAAGGAGGGAAAAAAGCCAAAAAATGCGGCTAAAAAGGTTTTGCTTTGAGGCTGTTTTGGGGGACTATTGGAGATTTTTTTAAAGGTAGGAGAAACCGAAGCACCCAGAAGAAACGTAAGCAGACACCGGGAGAACATGCAAACTCCACACAGAAAAAACCTAACCCTGAACCAAACCGCTTCGCCATTGAGCAGCCCAAAGTGAACCAAATAATCTTTCCACTGAATAATAGACTGAATAATGTCCAGTCCAGTCCAGTCCAGTCCTGTGTGGTACCTACAGGGTCTGAATACTGTGCAGAGAGTTGAAGGTCCCTTTGGCCACACTCTGGATCTTGTTGTCGTACAGTGAGAGCAGAGCCAGGTTCTCCAGGTCTTTGAAGGCCGAGGCGCGGACGCAGTGGATCTTGTTGGCGTTCAGCAATCTGCAAAAACACAACAGCCTTTCAGTGAAATCAGATCACAGACTTCCACAGGGCAAAAGGGAATCTCGGGTGAAAAATGACTTGAATTGAGGACATGGTTGTGGATATAGGTTCGACTTGGATTGATGTGTTTGCCCATGTGACCGAATACACCGCACTGGGTGGACTACATTTCTCACTATCCGTTTTTCTTCACATCCATTTTTCTTCTGTTTCTCGAGTCCCAGAGGTTTTGTCTCTGCACATAAACGTTCTCCAACACTTTGAGGGAATCCTGAGGTGTTCCCAGGCCAGCTGAGAGACATAGTCCCTCCAGCATGTCTCTCTGGAAGACATTTAGGAGACAGAAACAGATGCCCGATCCCAATCTTTAAGGTCCACACCATAATCAAATCTTATTCAAAGACGTTTTTAAATTACAAAAAACTTTAGCCTCAATTATAATAATATTGTTCCCTGTGATGTCATTGTAAGCACATTCAGCAGAAATAGAAACGGTGTTCATCATAGTCAAAAATATAATACATAAATACTTGGCAGACACCTGGGTTCACAAACTAAAAAAAAACAACAACAAGGAAATATAGTAAAAATGTAAATTGAATAAAAGGTGGTCAGACTTACAGCAGCTCCAGAGACGACAGTCCATCAAACACTCCCTCCGGCAGCTCAGTGATCTTGTTTCCATATAAAACACTGTCAAGGCGAAAACACATTATAATTAAACTAATTAGCGCCGTTCAAAGATAGATAGACTTCAGCTTAAAATACACTGTGACAGGTAGAAGTACTGGACACCTGCTTCTCTTAAATGATGATCGAGATTTTAGTTCGTAAATCTGTCCACGCAATCAGGCAATAAGGTCTCGTGTCTGTATCTGTCAAGTTTATCCATACGTTGTGTTCTAATGTGGCTCAGAGGTGGGCAAACCCTGGCCCGTGGGCTAGATGTGGCCCTTTGGACGTTTCTATCAGCCCTCCGCAGAGAAGTGAGTCCCAACTGTGAGACAAGGAGAAGGCCCCCTTGTCTCTGTTGGTGGTCCGTGCAGAGACGAGGAGGCCTTCACCTTGGCAGCAACAGTTACTTTGTCTTAATAAAGGTTAAAAATGAAAACCATCTGTGTTCTTAAAACCAGATTACTTACAGTGAGTTGAGAGCTTTTAGTCCATGGAAAGCATCAGGGGCGATCTCTGAAATCTGGTTGTTGCTCAAATCTCTGGACAAAGAAAGAATAATTCAAGCGTTTTGTGGAAAGTCTACTTGAAGTTGTGGAGTTATAACCAGGTCTCACATCCGCTGCAGCTTCTTGTAGGAGGTGAAGGCTCCGGGAGGGACCGACTTTATCCCATTTTGCTCCAAACGACTGAGGAAACATACATTGGTGTTATATTTGTTCAAAACAATCAACACCAGGAAAGAGATGCCCCATAAATTAAGGTGTATAAAAACATTTGAATCAGGAGCTGCAGTTTTTCCCAGTATTTGGGACTCATATAACTTGTAACTCAGGCTCAAGCTAATGACTTGTGTTTTTGTTTCTAAACCTTAGGCACAAAAGGAGACAATTTGCTGCAGCTCCTCCTTATAGGACACTTTCTATACAGTGACAAGGCTTCCCACAGGCGTTTCCCTCCGATTTCATAAACTTTTTTTCTTTTCCGTTATTGATTTTAGTTGTAGCTCAAATAGAACGTTTTGGGGCTCGATCTTTTGTCTGTTTTACACATTTCTGAAAAAAACTCTGGTGCCTAAAGGGTCTTTTGGCCTTGTTCTGTTGCTGAATGTGAATCAGTATGTTTTGTGTGTTGACTCTCACATCTCGGTCATGGCCTCGGGCAGATGTGCCGGGATGGCGGTGAGGCCTCTTCCTCTACAGTCCACGATGTTGTTGGAGCAGGTGCACATGGGCGGACAGGAGCCAGAGGCCAGACTGCAGGGCTGCACGAACGCACTCACGCCCTGGCCTGAACACACAACACACACCAGAGACACACAACATGATCCTCGGCTTTTGATATTGTCCTTGTAAATCCAAAAATGAGCAATGAGCAAGGACTGACCAATCCGATGCCTGGCTTTAGCAACCATGTTAGCAACACGTTAGTTTGCTTCTGCCCCTGCTGCGGAGAGTAGGTGACCCCATTTTTACAGATGTAGCGAGCTCACTGTATGTTCAAATTAGCTTCACTATAAATGACATCAGCACTCGGTCAGTCCACTCATAACATACCATCTCTTCTCCAGAAGTGTTGACAAGCTAAAGCTAGCTATACCCTATGCCAGGCGTCTGTCTCTAACCTGTAGCTCGGAAGCCACCAGTAGCTCGCCAGCCCCTTACAGGTAGCTCACCAAAGGAATTAGAATTTAACAAATACACTTCAACGAACACTTTTTGACCCATTACATATCTATTATAAGTATAAATAAAGGATTATACAGTATTATGGTGTATTTTATGTGTGTTCTCTGAGTTTGGTCATAATTATTAGATCGACTTTTATTACGACTACAAAAAGGAGTAGCTCTCTGCCTGCTTTTTTGTATAAAAGTAGCTCTCCGATTGAAAAAGGTTCGCACCAGAGCAGGCGAAGTCACTCTTGCGCAGCTCGGCCAGGTTGAGCCCCCTCAGGACCGGGGGGGAACTGCACTGTGTGAAGAGCCCCAGGGAGGGTCTCTGTCGCAGCCACGGAGACAACCAGGACATGTGGCAGTCGCAGCGCAGGGCGTTAGAGTGGAGGCGGCTACAGAGACCCACACAGAACATCACATCAGGGTAAGCATCAACACCCTGAGCATTTACTGTGGAACTCTGGCACAAAAAGCAATTTCACAGATTATTGAATTTAAATGAGAAAATCCTTCATAAGAGTTTGTTTGTGCTCACGTGTTCATACAGGAGAAAATTGTGCCGTTTTCTTCAGTGTTTTGGGATTTTTATTTTGCGATTATAATTAGGATGATTGATATTTTTCACCCTCGAGAAAAGAAAGTGTAATCGAGAAATAGTCTGTTTTTCATTTGCATTTATAGGATGTATTAATACAAGTTAGAATTGTTTGTAAGTTAGAAATGTTTATAATTGATGTACTTATGTGTGTAAATGGATGTGTTTTCTGCTGCTGGACACCTGAATATCTACTACCGGGATCACAAATGTATATACAGTATCTATCTATCTATTTATCTATCTACAAAATACTGTTAATATTGACTCTATAATGCAAAAATTTGGAGTGTAAAATTTGGTCACGTTTCCTCTACACATTCTACAACAGAAAACTATGATAAACTAGGTTATAATTGTGGTCCAACTAATAACCAAAACAATGACATATGTAATATTTTATACGTAAATACATTTGTGAACGGTGAAACCTTCTTGAAACATTGTCTTCCTGCTATGGTCATGTATCTACTTTTTATTTTACTGTTTCACAACAACCTGCTCAGGGACCACAGGTGTAAATTAGCACTGCTGCTACAACCTGGTACAATGCATCTCTCCTTTTGGCTAATGTTTAATGTACACTGTCCCTGTAGAGAATAGGCCTCTACTCTGACCATGTTCAAAACAAGGTTGAAAACACATCTGTTTAGCTGTGCATGCCACTGATTCTATTGTCTGGTATTTATCCCTTTTTAAACCCCATTTTAATACGTTTTATGCTGTGTATTGATTTATCTGTATTGAACTTTTGCTGCTTTTTAATTGCTTTTGTGAAGTACTTTGAATTGCCTTGTACAAGAATTGTGCAATACAAATAAATGTGGATCGATTTATTTTATTGACTCACAAGGTGCGCAGTTTGGGCATGTGGTTAAAGCTGGACACCGGGATCGTGGTGATGTTGTTGTTGTTCAGAGTCCTGGAAAGAAAAGGTTCAAACATCATCTTCACATCAGTAATTACACAAAGATTCTGGTTGGAATTCATGCTGTCCTTTTGAACACATATTGATTTAGTTCTGTTTCATCGTGAACGACAGAAGAGGGACTCACAGGACTTCCAGAGACCGCAGAGCTCTGAAGGCGCCCTCCTCGATGCAGCTGATGTGGTTCTTATCCATCTGACTGAAAACAGAAAGTGAATTGTACGTTTTATGGAACATGAAAAACTTGGTGGTGAACGGTGAAGGCAAGTCTGCTTTGGACGAGGGAGCAATGTCGCATCAGCATCAAAAGCTCAAAAAAACACACAGATAGACAAGACACACACGCACACACACACGGACATACACACACAGGATGACAGACAGACACACACACACACGCGCACACACGGACAGACAGACACAGGATGACAGACAGACACACACACGAACAGATAGACACACGCGCACACACACACGGACATACACACACAGGATGACAGACAGACACACACACACACACGGACAGACAGACACAGACACACACAGGCAGACAAAGACAGAGAGACAGAAAGACACGCGTACACACACGCACAGACAGACAGACAGACACACAAATACAAACATAAACACCAACAGACACACACACATACACACAAACACATAAACACGCACACACAAAACCAGACGATACAGACACACACACATACACACAAACACATAAACACGCACACACAAAACCAGACGATACAGACACAGACACACACAGGCAGAGAGGCAGACAGACAGGCACACGCACACACACAGACACACACATGCAGAGAGGCAGACAGACAGACAGACACACACACACGCACACACACAGACACACACATGCAGAGAGGAAGACAGACACACACAGATAGACAGACATAGACTCACACAGGCAGACAGACAGAAAGACACACATACACATACACACGCACAGACAGACAGACACACACACATACAGTACAAACATAAACACCCACAGACACACACACACCCTCATGCACACACACACGCACATACTCTCTCACACACACACAGACACACACATGCAGAGAGGAAGACAGACAGACACACCCCCACACAGGCAGACAGACAGACACACACACATACAGTACGAACATAAACACCCACGCACGCACACACACACACACACACACACACACATACACACACAGAGAGACTGGTCAGAGCACAAATTAACACTTGAGAAGCACTCACAGGTTTTTGAGGTCAGTGGCTCCTCTGAACGCTCTCCTGGGAATGGCCTGGATCACGTTTTCACTCAAGTCTCTGAAAACACAAAGAAGACGGAGAGGGAACTGGTTAAAGCTGAGGTACCTAACTTTAAAACCACACAAAGGTACATAGCTACGCAAGGAAAATACTATTTATATTTAAACACAGAAGTTAGTAGTTGCTGTCTTGACTCAATTTGTTAAATAGAAAAAGAAACCCAGATAATTTGTGTACTGCAGTGCATTTTTAAACTCTACCGACTTGAATGATAGAATTGTCCAGATTGCTGGTTCTATTCCCTGTATCCTCTCTCCCTCATTAGCTCCGGAGAGTCCACGGTGAAGGTGAGGCCCAAGTAATGAGAGCGCCAAGTCTCCAGAGAATCACATCATTTACTCTGGACCAAAACCACTGATTTATCTGCAGCTGAACGTCCTGTTTGCACCGAGAGAGAGAGAGAGAGAGAGAGATAGAGAGACCGGAGAGAGACCAGATAGAGAGACCGGAGAGAGACCAGAGAGAGACCAGAGAGAGACCAGAGAGAGAGACCAGAGAGAGAGACCAGAGAGAGAGACCAGAGAGAGACCAGAGAGAGACCAGAGAGAGAGACCGGAGAGAGAGACCAGAGAGAGAGACCGGAGAGAGAGACCGGAGAGAGAGACCGGAGAGAGAGACCGGAGAGAGAGAGACCGGAGAGAGAGAGACCAGAGAGAGAGACCAGAGAGAGACCAGAGAGATAGACCAGAGAGAGACCAGAGAGAGAGACCAGAGAGAGACCGGAGAGAGAGACCGGAGAGAGAGACCGGAGAGAGAGACCGGAGAGAGAGACCGGAGAGAGAGACCAGAGAGAGAGACCAGAGAGAGAGACCAGAGAGAGACCATTAATGATGGACTGGAATTATGATGGACCCCTAATTTAAAAGCTTCTGGGAGTTCCATTTTCACAATGTAACACATGTACTTTTAGGGACTGTGTGAATTGTGAATAAACTAAACTAAACCAGAGAGAGAGACCAGAGAGAGACCAGAGAGAGATCAGAGAGAGATCAGAGAGAGACCAGAGAGAGACCAGAGAGAGACCAGAGAGAGAGATTGGAGAGAGACCAGAGAGATAGACCGGAGAGAGACCAGAGAGAGAGACCGGAGAGAGAGACCAGAGAGACCAGAGAGAGATCAGAGAGAGATCAGAGAGAGACCAGAGAGAGAGACCAGAGAGAGAGACCAGAGAGAGACCAGAGAGAGACCAGAGAGAGACCAGAGAGAGAGACCGGAGAGAGAGACCAGAGAGAGAGACCGGAGAGAGAGACCGGAGAGAGAGAGACCGGAGAGAGAGAGACCAGAGAGAGAGACCAGAGAGAGACCAGAGAGATAGACCAGAGAGAGACCAGAGAGAGAGACCAGAGAGAGAGACCAGAGAGAGAGAGACCAGAGAGAGAGACCGGAGAGAGAGACCGGAGAGAGAGACCGGAGAGAGAGACCGGAGAGAGAGACCGGAGAGAGAGACCAGAGAGAGAGACCAGAGAGAGAGACCAGAGAGAGACCATTAATGATGGACTGGAATTATGATGGACCCCTAATTTAAAAGCTTCTACTTCTGGGAGTTCCATTTTCACAATGTAACACATGTACTTTTAGGGACTGTGTGAATTGTGAATAAACTAAACTAAACCAGAGAGAGAGACCAGAGAGAGACCAGAGAGAGATCAGAGAGAGATCAGAGAGAGAGACCAGAGAGAGACCAGAGAGAGACCAGAGAGAGAGATTGGAGAGAGACCAGAGAGATAGACCGGAGAGAGACCAGAGAGAGAGACCGGAGAGAGAGACCAGAGAGACCAGAGAGAGATCAGAGAGACCAGAGAGAGATCAGAGAGAGATCAGAGAGAGACCAGAGAGAGACCAGAGAGAGACCAGAGAGAGACCAGAGAGAGAGACCAGAGAGAGACCAGAGAGATAGACCAGAGAGAGAGACCGGAGAGAGACCAGAGAGAGAGACCGGAGAGAGAGACCAGAGAGACCAGAGAGAGATCAGAGAGACCAGAGAGAGATCAGAGAGAGACCAGAGAGAGAGACCAGAGAGAGACCAGAGAGATAGACCAGAGAGAGAGACCGGAGAGAGAGACCAGAGAGACCAGAGAGATAGACCAGAGAGAGACTGGAGAGAGAGTCCAGCGAGACCAGATTAACTCATTCATAATCACTGGGCTGAGGGGAAGCTACAGGGTCTCCTTAAGTCACACTCACAACAGGGAAATTAAGAGAATAAGTTTAAAAACCTCCCAGACTCTTAAAGCTGTATAAAAACATCACTTACTTGCTTACTGTGTATGGGTAAGGCAAGTTTTATTGTATAGCGCAGTTCATACACAAGGCAACTCAAAGAAATCCCACAACCCAATAAAATCATGAATAAACACAGTACATTAAAAAGGTTAAGAGACAATCCCTCAGTTTTATCACAGCTTCTCACATTTTCAGGAAGACTGTTCCCGATTCTACTGTAGCTGCATGAATCTGAAACACAGCCTCCCCATGTTTAGAGATGTTAAAGATCTCCAAAGTGTGGGCAAAGCATTAGAATACATGATTTCTTTGTTTAATCCATATTTGGGGATCTATGATGAAAACAACAAATGCTCCTCATTGTGGTTGTGAGAAGCCATAGATCATGTGTGTCAAAGTCAAGGCCCGGAGGCCAGATCCGGCCTGCGAGACAATATTTTGTGGCCCCTATAATAATTTTGTATTATTATTGACGCATTGATGGTAAGGGGTGACTAAGGCAGGTTATACATTATCAAATTTAATGTATTGTAACATTTTAACCCAATAACACATTATTAGAAGTTAAATAGTTCAATATAAAATGTTTTTACTTTATATTTGGTCCAGTTTTGGTTCAATCTAAACAACAAACACATTTTGTTTTCAGGAAAATAAACCAGAAAATAACAGTGAAAGTAAAATATCTTCATAACGTAGAGTTTGACATCCCTGCCATAGATTGTCAGATAAATATGTTTTTTATTTTCAAATTATATAATCAAAGAGTAGATCTGGGAGGAATCTCAAATGTGCAGTTTGAATGTGTATGAACTAGAGGCTTTTTGACAAGAACTGACAGTTTTACCATCAGAAGATACCACAAAAGACAGAGGCTGCCATAGACTGCTGCATGACTGCTCAAACCAATGGAAATCTGAGAAATTTACCAACAAATGATTTATTATCTCTGTTTATAATGTTTTTTGTCTTTTTTTGTTTCATTCATTCTAAGTGTTATAAATGGTTAAAATAACTTTAAATACAGCAAAAACACTTTGTTGCAACTTGCAAGGATAATGATAAAGACCAAATGCTAGCTAGCAAACAGGGTGTTGCTACGGTAACTAGCATTCCCCCATGAGACCTTCTCAATCTACTCCCACTGCCGTTTGCTGCCATTGTGTCCCTGGGCAAGACACTTAACCCCACTCTGCCTGAAGCCCCCACTGAAAGACCAATAAGGAATTTTGTGACACAATTTTTTTTTTTTTTTTTTAAATCAGTATATGCAAATAAAGTTGACGACTGGAATTAAAAGGGTCTGAGCTTTGACTTCAATGATGGAGAAGAAGTTGGCTGGGTGACACTGTGTATGTGCTCACTACAAGTCGAAAGGATAAATGAGAAGAGAAGGCAATTATTACAGTATTAACAGATATAAAAAGGAGGTTTTCCGACGGGTAAAAGATTAAATTTGCTTTAGTAAGATTATTATTTTCACAGTAATAATCTTACAATACGACTCAACATGACTCACTTCTATCTCACCCAAATCCAAACACCAACTCTATTCTCTCGAAAAATGAAAAATGCCTTCGCTCCTCTCCGGTCGCCATGTTTGTGGTTGTCGTGGGAGACGGCGCAGGTCTTAGTCTTAGCGGGCTCTGATTGGCCACAGCTGGACCTAAGCCTCTCGGGTCTTTCTGAGCCCGTGTGAGAAAAGTAAACCTTCCCAGTGTCTCCTCTGGACAGTTCAGCCGATTGTGGAAAAGGGTCAAATGTTTGGGACAGTGTCAGAATGAGGCGCAGACGGACGGGTGTCTCGGCAAAAACAAACAAGGAACACAGGAGAAATGTTGCCTAATTCAATGAGTGAGAATTATGCAAAATTAAGAAATAAATTGAGAGCTTAAAGATGCAGTCAGGACTTTTTAACAGACGCACTTTTATAAATATTGTGGGAAAACGTCCCTAAACCCTAAAAGTAGTCAAGTCATCATGTGTTTTCAAATAGTAATGGACTTGACCAGATGCCTGTAGTCTACAAAAATTAATAAAAAAATATTTTAGAGTGGACCGATAAAAATGAACCAATGGGATGCGTTTACCCCCTTCACCCTCTTCCTGTTTCTCGCGAGTGCACCTGAGTTATTGGATTATTTTCTAAAACCTAAAAGCGCTGAACAGAAAATGCCAATTTCACGTTCGCCGCCCACTCTCCCTGTTGTGACAAAGAAACGAAAATGCTGGATGTTTGGTTTGGTGGAGAGGGAGGGGAGGGGGGAGTGGTTTCGAGTTGGTGCTACGGCTAAGCTAACAACATCACTCACTGCACCTTTAATTTATGCTTTCTTCAAATCCTAGAGCAAAGATTGGGAACTGTTTTAGCCCAAAAAGTCATATACTTTCACATTTATTTCTGTGGGAGCCATACAGGTTTTTTTATTTACTACAGTTTGAGGAAGAAATTTTTTTTAAAAGAAGATCAACACATTTAGAGAGTAATATTAGTCTCAGAATGTATCATTTTGATTTAATAACACACTCATACAGAAGAAATCAATACATATTTACACTTATCAAAAGAGCCGTAGGTTCTTCACCTCTGTTCTAGAGTGAATCTTAAATGTCTTTGCTGTTCACTCCTTGAAGAGCGCAATGTTTTTCTAAGACGTAGGAGCACTAATAACGACAATACATGTTTTTAGTTTTTTATCATTATCATTGCCTCATTGACTGCCAGCCGTTTTTGATGAATTCACTGATTGTCAAGACCCACAGAATATTATTTCCTATGACTATGTGAAATATGAAACCAGATCTTGAAAGACTGGATTGTCTACTTTCATCAGCAAAAATAAGTTTGTTTCTACCTATTTTTATTGTCCTGAAACCCCCAGTCAAATAGAGGGTCTCAGGCAAATACGTGGTGGAGATGCAGCTTGATGGTAAATGAGGTGAATTTCAGTTTCCAAGTTTCAAGTAGATACAGTAACTCCCAAATAGTTGGCCAAACCATGAAAGGGTTAATATTCAGTAGTCTATGCCTCTGCAGCGCTCTGAGATTACTGCTGTTGTTGCCTCTGCAGTAATGACTGGTGTGTTCTCTGTGGAGCTTTGGACCACAGTGTGAGTAAATGTGTCCAGTTTCTGTCCCGCGGGGAGAAACCACACACGGAGCTTTGGCACGCTTCCCTCTGCCTCAATCTCGGCTCCATCTCTCCCCATTAAACACTTTCTCCTCTCTCCCGGTGTTTCATCCATCACTCCCCTCGCTCGCATGTATTTGCCATTTATTGCGCCTGCTGTGGCTCTACACCCGCAGTCTCAGAGCGGCTCTCACGTCCACCGCTGCAGCTTTTCCCATTCGCACGTTTTTGGTGGAAGTCATTTGTGCGGCTCCCACTGGGAAAACACATCACACTGGGACATGGAGCGATAAAACCAGCGGCGGATTCAGCCACGGCCGAAAAAACGAGATTTATCGTTTGATTTTGTCGACGATAGACATGGAGGAAACTGCTTTGTTCCTGATCCAGTCCTTATCAAGTCTATTGGTTTTTAACTTTGATCCTAGTAAGCTATTATGTGTGAAGTTGCTGATTATTGGCAGGAACTGGAACGCGCTGGTGTATACGGTGATCCTTCCGGCGGCCCAGTAAAGGTGGTATGTGAGGTGCTGTTTCTCATGGTTTCTACAGTAAGTGGTTATAACAATATACCTAAACAGAATCATTGAAAATTGTACATATAATAAATATAATACCATAATTCAATACTTTGCTGTAGTCCTTTAGTTTGGACTTGATTATAATAAACTGGCTAAAAGTCCTTGTATTGTCGTGATTTCAGACTTGGATTCGTCCTGGTGTTGTCCTGTTTTAGTCCTGGTTTGGGATTGTTTCAGTGTTGTTCTAGTCCTGGTTTGATTCGATTCCGGTCCTAGTTTGGTCCTGGTCCAATTTATTAATTTAAATCATTAAGGGGAACAATCAACATCAACACAACATTTAGAGCCAAAGCTAATTTGCAGTTACAACTATAGCCCTGTTTTAGTCCTACTTCAGTCCTACTTCAGTCCTACTTCAGTCCTACTTCAGTCCTACTTCAGTCCTACTTCAGTCCTGGTTTAGTCCTTGTTTAGTCCTGGATTCTCTTCTAAACCGTCTCGCTGACAGGTCTCTCTGTCTCAGTGAAATGAGAGTCCTCTGGGACGTCCTAAAAGCGCCGGGAGCCAGTGGGACGTCTGCTCGGCTCCTCTCACCTCCCCACACTCACAAAGCTCCATAACACTCTCAAACACGTCCTGCACTGGAAGAAGAACTGGTAAAATGTTTATATTTATGTAGAATGAGTCAAAGGTTTAGAGAAATCCTACTCTGTTCCATTCAAGTGTTGTCTTTGGGTTCGTGAAAGAGCACATTTGAATATCTCAACCCCATAAACAATCTTTGGAGGGAGTTGAAAGTCTGCGTTACCTAGCGACAGCCCCAAAACATGACTACTCTAGAAGAGATGTGCATGAAGGAATGGGCCAAAATACCAACAATAATGAGTGAAAACAATGCGGCGACTTACAGAAAATGCTTGACTTTTCTGATTGAGTAAACACATATTTTCAACCATAATTAATATCAAATTCTTTTAAAAATCAACGCCGTAGTTTAATTAGAGGCATCTCACAATCTGCACAATTGGAGACTGACATGATGTTTTTTGCCCCACTGCAGCCCTAGATTGCTGATGAAGCGTATGCCGTGTTTCCCAACCAGTGGAGCAGGGACCTGGGCAGTGGACCAGGACGTTTATGGTTAAAAGCTGGTCCTGGTTTTACTGCAGCGGTCAAATATTGTGGACAGAAACATGTTTTAAAAAGTGTGGGCAGAGAGTGACTCACAGTCTTGACAAAGCTTCGTTCTTCTGGAACAGCAGCTCTGGGATCTGAGTCAGACGGTTCCTGTTTATCCGTCTGGAGACAGAAGAAAGTGATTTGTTGTGTGTGTGTGTTTGTGTGTGTGTGTGTGTGTGTGTGTGTGTGTGTGTGTGTGTGTGTGTGTGTGTGTGTGTGTATCATTGTGTGTAAAAAGGTTCTCACAGTCGCTCCAGCTCCTTCAGATCGTCGAAGGCTCCTCTCTCCACGTTCGTGATCTGGTTCTCCATCAAATGTCTACAACACAAAAGGAAACACACACACAGAATCACATACACAGAGACACAAACAGAGACAGACACACACACAGAAGCACACACACACACAGAGAAGCACACACAGAAAAGCCCACACATGCACATACAGACATACAGACAGCACACACACGCAACACATACACAGAGACACAAACAGAGAAAGATTCACACAGAAGCACGCACACACACACAGAAGCACACACACACAGAAGCACACACACACGCGCACACACAGACAAGGGCACACAGAAAAGCACACACACGCACATACAGTCACACAGACAGCACACACACAGAATCACATACACAGAGACACAAACAGAGACAGATAGACACAGAAGCGCAGACACACACACAGACACACACAATTTGGCAGTTTAAAATATATTTGAACAATCTTTTTCAATCAACAATGGTCAAATATGAAACACTATTATAACTTGAAATATACAGATTTTATGAAAATAAAACTACAGCAGAATGTGTTCACTTGTATCACTTTGTCTGTTTGTTTACCACTTCCTGTTTGTGTGCGACCAGATTTATGAGATTCGAGTAAGACAGACCAATAACATTATAATTTTTTTCTATTTTGGCCTGAGATAGTTTGGAATTTCAGGTTAAGATTAGTTTTTCTCTCGCTGAGGAGCAGAGGGACTGGCCTGTTACTGGTGCCCAGGGTCAGGAGTAAACGTCTGATTTCAGATTTATCCGGCCAAAATCTGGAACAGTCTTCCTGAAATTTCAAATCCAGGATAAAAACAGTCGCATACATTTGAAGGATTCTATCGTCTCTCTTTTTAATGCACTGTCATTATTTATGAAGTTAATCTCTTGCGTCTCTTTCTTGTTTTGTGAAGAGTTTTGAGTTTCCCGTCATGTTTTTTATAGACAGCAGTTTTCCGCGGCGGATCTCTGCTCCCCGTTGGCCGCCGTCACAGCACACATTATTCCCTGCTCTAAACGATGACACTTGTGGACACGGCGGCGTACATTAGTCCTGCCTGATCCGTGACAGCTGCCGTCGTGTGGAATGACATCCACAATGAGGCGAGACTGAACCAGACACGATGCTGCGTCCCTCCTCACTAATTAAACTACATTCATCCAATTAGTGCGAGGTTACAAAGGCCCCGCTGAGAACCACACACTCTCAGGAGCAGGGGAGCCGAGGAGGAGGAGGGAGAGGAGGAAGACGAAGAGGAGGAGGAAGACGAGGAGGAGGAGGGCGAGAAGAGGAGGAAAACGAGGAAGACTAGGATGAAGAGGAGGAGGACGAAGACAAGAAGGAGAAGGGGGAAGAGGAAGCCGAGGAGGAGAATGACAAGAAGGAGGAGGAGGAAGCCAAGGAGGAAGACCAAGGGGAGGAAGACAAGAAGGAAGAGGAGGAGGAAGATGAGGAGGAAGAGGAGGATGAAGACGAGGAGGACAAGGAGAAGGCGGAGAACGAGGAAGACAAGAAAGAAGACCAGGAGGAGGAAGACAAGAAGGAAGAGGAGCAGGAGGAGGAGGAGGATGAAGCCGAGGAGTAGAAGGAGGAAGAGGGTGAGAAGGAGGCGGAGAAGGAGGAGGAGGAGGAAGAAGACAAGAAGGAAGATGAGGAGGAGGACTGGTGATAATCCCTCTGCCTAATGTGTGCGAAGGCCAAAAGGTTCACTAAGATGAAGGGCCCAGGAGGAGGAGGAGGAGGAGGAGGAGAAGCTGAGGACAAATTACAGATGCAGCTCGAGTCCTGACATGAACCAGGAAGTACGACCACATTAGTCCAGGTCTCAGGTCTCTGCACTGGCTTCCTTACTTTAAAGCAGCTCAGGGACTGGCCTCCTGCTGGGACTCTGAGGAGCACAGGGACTGGCTTCCTGCTGGGACTCTGAGGAGCACAGGGACTGGCCTCCTGCTGGTCCCAGAGTCAGGACTTCTTCTCTGACAATGTTCAAATCCAGGTCTAAACCGTTGTGATCTGTGCATAAAACTGAAGGATTTTATCTTCTCTCGGTTTAAAGTTCCTTTTCTTGTTTTGTGAAGCACTTTGAGTTTCCTTTGGTATGAATTATGACATACAAATAAATGTGCCTTGCCTTATTGGGACTTTAAATTTTTTTGTTTTATTTGATGTCTATGTCTTCACCATGAGGGGGTGGGAATCAAGAGAATGGGTTTCTAAATATGTAACATTACATTTTGTTTTATGAGTTCACTAAAATGCTTATTACTACATACAAGTTGCGTTATAATCAGTAATTTAATTGAAAACTTGAGCTCATTGATTCAGCTGTGGATGAACTCAGGCCGTAAAATGTGCTGACGCCCGCTCTCCTCCAATCAGAGAGCGAGGCTGCGTCCTCTAGCCTCTACAGCGCTGCTAAACACAGTAAGTGTTAGCATAAGTGGCTATAACTCCTCTGGCTGTAACTGCAGACACAGCAAAACAGCCCAAACCACACAACAGTGAGGAAGAGAAGCGGGAAGAACTAAAGCCAAAAAACTATCAAAGAAGAAATCAAGCCCGGGTGAACATAGCTAGCTTACATCGTACCCTCTGGAGAGACTTGTCTATGGGAGAAACCTGCCTCGGACTATCTATGCTCGGACCACATTCGGCCCTGAAACTAGCGGTAATATATTTTGTGTTAGCAGTGCGTTGCTTTTGTACCATTTAATCAGTGATTGTTGTACAGCTTACAAGAAGTTGCGCTCATGCTAATGTTTGCACAAGTATCAAATAAAACTAGATGGCTGCGTGGGAGGAGAGCGTCGGGGAAATGAGAAGCCTGTGAGCGAGTTGGGGGCGGGGCTAAACATTCAAACCTTTCAGAAACGAGTATAGCTCCTTTAATGAAAACCTATAAATAATGAGATAGATTTTTCACTTAACCCTATATAAGGACGCTTCCTGTATTCGCACGTCTTCACACTCCCAGGCGCTGCACATATTTGAGGCCAGTGTGGAGCGGGTGTTTACTCTGAACCTTCATACATCACTTCAGACTTAACACAGAGACACTCACAGCACGCGGAGGTGTTTCAGTCCAGAGAAGTCAAACTTGGTGATGACTGTGAGGTTGTTCCCGTTCAGATCTCTGCAACAAAAAAGGAACAGACGTTTCATGATGTCAAGATCTATTACAATTGAGGACCTTTAAAAAAAAAAAAAAAAACAACATTTCAAGGTTTTTTACGTTTTTTGAACCAGAATAATAATAATAAGAAATATCACAAAACTTGAAATCCAGAACTTTCAAAACTCCACACAACTTCACACAATCTTATAAGATCAATCTCATAAATTTGCGACTTCGAGTTTATTCTCATATTTAGATTTAGTCAAAATATTCTGCAAAATATTCTTTCATCTCAAAGCGTCTGAAAATCGGGTGAGCCTTTTGCTCTATTGTAAGAATCAGAAGTCACAAACTAAGGATCTGCTTTGGCTCAAGATGCAAATAAGTTCTAAAAGTAAAAATGGATAGAAGGCAAACAAGCGTTAGCGATGGAGCTGCTTTGTGTTTCTCAGACTGAACAAAAGGAGAAAACATCATTCTTAGTTCTGACTTTAGCCCCGTGATCTCATTGTGGTTTGATTGACAGCAGCGATGTCACTGTTCCCACGAGAAAAGAAACTCGACACCTGCGCTGCACCAGTCTGTGGAGATTTCACTTTTGTCCTGTTTCCACCTACTCTACTCTACTCTACTCTACTCTACTCTACTCTACTCTACTCTACTCTACTCTACTCTACTCTACTCTACCCTACCCTACCCTACCCTACCCTACCCTACCCTACCCTACTCTACCCTACTCTACCCTACCCTACCCTACCCTACTCTACCCTACTCTACCCTACTCTACCCTACCCTACCCTACCCTACTCTACCCTACCCTACCCTACTCTACCCTACCCTACCCTACCCTACCCTACCCTACCCTACCCTACCCGGAGCGTTTCCACTGGTCTTAAGAAAATGGCACTTTTTAGCACCTTCTTGGCCTAAATGTTCTGACAGACAGTGATTGGTCATTGGTGTTTTGAGGTATTTCAAGAGATTGGGCCCCATTCACGAACGGTTCTTAAGAAAAAATGTGTGCGTAAATCCTACTTACGAGGATTTTACGAAGATTGTGGCATTCATGAAATTTTCTCGTAACCAGAATTTCTCTTGGGTAAGTACAAATCCTACGAATGCTCAGGAGCACTCGTACGCACATTCAGTGCCGACATGTTCGCACGCTGGTGTTATGAAGTTCAATAAAACACAACATTACAGTGATATGTCCGTCATATTGATGTATGTATTTCATATATTTCATTGTTTATAGTAATTTAGTCTATTTATTAATTCATTTTGAAATTAAATATGCCAACGCTTTATAAAAAAAAATTGTAAATCATGCCGTCTATTAGTGACCCCATCCTATTTATAGGGGGCATTTCTTTATCCACGGACCACAGAACAATGGCATATATACTGCTGCTGCAGGAGGCTGCGGAGTCTCTCCCATGGATCTATTACGGGTCCGTAATCCCACGTAGGGTCTTCTTAGAAATCTACTTAAGAAAGACTTGAGAAGAAATTTAAGAAGATTCTTAAGAAGATATTTGTGAATGAGGCCCATTGTTATCAGACAGGCAAAGATGATCTACTCAGACTCATGTCCTTTACTCTCAATTCCCCTCATTTATGAAACTTGCGCAGAAAATGATGTAAATTTTGGGTTTTGAGTCCAAATATGCAAGATCCAACGTAGTATTTATGAATGTGTGAGATCTGCACAGATCTGAGCGTACGCACCTGCAGCTGAATACAAATGTATTTATGAAAGTCACGCCTCTAAATATGCAGCGACCGCTTGTTTCACGGCTCATTTCTACAACATGTCTGAACGGAAGTCGGTGGAAGACTGTTTGGAAGCCTCTACAGGCCTGTGGCATGACCTCCTGAAGAGTTTGTACATGTTTGTTTATAAAGAAATACAAGCTATATTCAGCTGCGTTTCCATTGAACAAATTTGCAAAACTTTTTTGATACATTGCAAAAGTCTGTCTTGAACTGTAACAGTAAATAAATAAGTAAAGAATGAATGAATGAATATCTCAGCCTCAGCGGTGGCTCTCATCATTAACTGGATGAAGCGTCTGCAGCATCTTCCTCTGAACGCAACAGAGCGATCTCTGTGAGAGAGAAAGTTGGACCACAACTCTGGGGAAGTTGTGGTCCATAGCTTCGTTTCCACTTCAGGGTAATTTTCCACTTCCAGCCCGCTCCTTTCACCAGGAACTCCTGCGGTGGAAACGCGGCTCATGATTTCACAAAGAAACTCTGGATCCAAAACTTCTGAATGACGCGCACCACATTTGAGGAGTTATGCGGTGGGCCCTGTCGTTAGAGTTTCGCTTTTCAGCCCGAGCCCGAGCAGGCCCGAGGCCCGACCTGAGTTCGGGCCGGGCTCGGGCCTCATTTGGCGCTCAGCTGTCGGGTTCGTGCCGGGCTCGGGCTTATTTTTTTAAATATATGTTTCTTTTTTATTATTATTATAATTATTTTTAAATGTTTTTTATACATAATGATATGCATATATGCATATATGCATATATATATATATATATATATATATATATATATATATATATATATATATATATATTATATATATATATATATATATATATATATATATATATATACAGTGCCTTGCTAAAGTATTCGGCCCCTTGAACCTTTCAACATTTTGCCACATTTCAGTCTTCAAACATAAAGATATAAAAAAAAAAATTTTTGTCATGAATCAACAACAAGTGGGACACAATCATGAAGTGGAACGAAATTTATTGGATAATTTAAACTTTTTTAACAAATAAAATACTGAAAAGTGGGGTGTGCAATATTATTCGGCCCCTTTACTTTCAGTGCAGCAAACTCACTCCAGAAGTTCAGTGAGGATCTTTGAATGATCCAATGTTGTCCTAAATGACTGATGATGATAAATAGAATGCACCTGTGTGTAATCAAGTCTCCGTATAAATGCACCTGCTCTTTGATAGTCTCAGGGTTCTGTTTAAAGCACAGAGAGAACCATGAAGACAAAGGAACACACCAGGCAGGCCCGAGATACTGTTGTGGAGAAGTTTAAAGCCGGATTTGGATACAAAAAGATTTCCCAAGCTTTAAACATCTCAAGGAGCACTGTGCAAGCAATTATATTGAAATGGAAGGAGTATCAGACCACTGCAAAGCGGAGCCATAGGGAGCGGGATGACCACTGTCCATAAATGTCCTTAAATGTCACGGATCATCACTGTCTTTAGAACCTCCTGAGTCGGACTCGGCAAAAAATAACAAACTTTGGCAAAATATTGAGAAAGGGATCTGCTCCCACGTATGGACAGGCTGAAAATCCAGGACTCAGAACAGGCTGTATACATAAATGAAACAAGCAAAACACACATACATACAGTAGACATACAGCAGCTCACATAGAAGCTGTCTTGAACTACAAAACGGGTCAGAAGAGGCCAAATCGATCACGTCAAACCCCACAACCAATAAAAACTGCCTGCTAAAAACAGCAATTGATTTTTCTATTTCTTGCTCTGAGCTGCTTTGGTTGTGGAGATGTAGAAACCGCGTGGATCGGGTTACAGATACTGTAAAGGGCGGACCGCCGTGACCTTGGGCTGTCCTGCGCTGAAGAATGGGCTGTCTGAATGCGAACAGGAGCCACATCTGCACGCTCCATTGTTGTCATTGTGCACCGCTCTGAAAACGTCCAGACCAAACCACAGAGGAGGCCCATTTGTTCTCGTCTCACTGGGACAAAACCACCGGGACTGTCCCCAGGCGAGGAGTCACAGATGAGTGTGCAACAGGCAAGACCAGAGAGAGAGAGAGACCAGAGAGAGACCAGAGAGAGGTATCAGAGAGAGAGACCAGAGAGAGGGAGCTGAGAGAGAGCAGAGAGAGGTATCAGAGAGAGAGACCAGAGAGAGGGAGCTGAGAGAGAGCAGGGAGATAGACCAGAGAGAGAGAGAGACCAGAGAGAGGTATCAGAGAGAGGTATCAGAGAGAGGTATCAGAGAGAGAGACCAGAGAGAGGGAGCTGAGAGAGACCAGAGAGAGAGAGACCAGAGAGAAAGACCAGAGAGAGGGACCAGAGACAAATCAGAGAGAGAGACCAGAGAGAGGAAGCTGAGAGAGACCAGAGAGAGAGAGAGAGACCAGAGAGAAAGACCAGAGAGAGACACCAGAGAGAGGGACCAGAAAGAAATCAGAGAGAGAGACCAGAGAGAAAGACCAGAGAGAGACACCAGAGAGAGGGACCAGAAAGAAATCAGAGAGAGAGACCAGAGAGAGGGAGCTGAGAGAGACCAGAGAGAGAGACCAGAGAGAGAGACCAGAGAGAGAGACCAGAGAGAGAGACCAGAGAGAGAGACCAGAGAGAGGGACCAGAGAGAGCAGAGAGAGAGAGACCAGAGAGAGACCAGAGAGACACTAGAGAGAAACCAGAGAGAGAGAGCTGAGAGAGAGCAAGAGACCAGAGAGAGAGACCAGAATCTTAATCCTGTCTGGAAAATGTGGGATTAAAACACACAATTTAAAGGCCAAAATTGAATTGCCTCGACCAGCGCTAGTATCTTTCTGATCTATCTGACTGAAGTTCAAGTGCATCGGGGTCCATCGGCGTCCATTAACCCCCTCCTCCTGTACCCTCACCCCCTCCTCCCCCTCATCTCCCCCGCTCCCCCCGGTGTCGCCTCTTTGAAGGAGTTGTGTGGTTTAATGAGCTGTTGTTTGTGAGAGTCACCACTCGAGCGCGGGCCGACCTCTGCCCCGCGCACACGGCACTAACCCAATTACCCACGGCTCATCGGTACAACAGTCGCACAAAGCAGATGCCTATTGACAGTTTGGAGACGGATAATGGAGAAGAAGAACCCACAAATTGTAATCATAAATGCTCAACTGAAAAACTGCCTTACTGGAGAAAAAAAATGGGTTTCTGTTAATGTTAGCAAAAAAGTAAGTTGTGCAATTAAGCTATTTCCATGTATAAGTGCTGTGTTAAGTATTGAATATGTGTGTGT